ACTCAGCACCGGGATCCCAGTGGCTTCTCTCTCTGTTCTCTCCCCAAAGCCTCTGTCCTGTCTTCCCTCAAGCATCTCTAGTTCACTCTGCCTCCCTCACCTTTGCCAGAGCCCAGGGTAAGTGGCTGCAAATGAAAATGTATGCATTGGCCCTTTAAACAGCTTTTTGCATCTCCAGCCATCTCCAGTCTCTGTTAGAGAGCAGCCCTGCCACTTTTTATAGCTGGATGTTATCTGTGTACTTTTCAGGCTCTGTTGCTCTAGGCTGGGGATCCTAGCTTAGGGTTTAGACTCCACACTTTTCAGGGGGATCCAACCAGCTGCTTCAATATCCCTCCGGTACTTCAGCTGCTGCCTGTGGGTGCCCAGCCAGCCCTCTTGCATCTCCACCTCATTTCCTACTAGTCACATTGTGCTGAAGCTGACTCTTCTGTCTGTCCATGATTATAAAACCTTTCTCTTACTATTGTTCATTTGTTTGTTCTGGTGACTTCTCCACAATTTAGTTGCAATTCCAGATTAGCCCTAGAAGGAGGTTAGTGTAACTTCTACTCACTCCTCCACCATCTTGGATCCCTAATCTTGGGTAATTCAATTATTATGTGTCTTGGTGTGTTCTTTCTTGGGTCCAACTTCTTTGGGATTCTCTGAGCTTTCTGGACTTGCGTGTTTATTTCTTTTGCCAGATCGGGGAGGTTTTTCTTCATTTTTTTCAACTAAGTTTTCAATTTCTTTTTCTTCCTCTTATACTTCTGGCACACCTATGATTTGGGTGTTGGAATGTTTAAAATTGTCCCAGAGGATCCTAAGCCTCTTTTCATTTTTTTTGAATTCTTGTTTCTTCATTCTATTCCAGTTGAATGTTTATTTCTTCCTTCTGTTCCAAATCATTGATTTGAGTCCTGGGTTCCTTCCCTTCACTGTTGGTTCCCTGTATATTTTCCTTTATTTCATTCTGTATGGCCTTCACTTCTTCCTTTATTTTGCATCTGTACTCAACCATTTCTGCGAGCATCCTGATTACCAGTGTTTTGAACTCTGCATCTCATAGGTTGTCTATCTCCTCGTTGCTTAGTTCTTTTTCTGGAGTTTTGATATGTTCTTTCATTTTGGCCATATTTATTTGTCTGAGTGCACCTGTTATCTTTAAGGGGTGGAGCCTTAGGTATTCGTCAGGGCAGGGTAACCCACTTCACTGTGTTGTGGTGCTGTATGTGGCAGAGGGGTCAAAGAGGGAACAATGCCTCTTGCTCGGCTCCCATTCCACTTTTAGTTACTTCCCCTGCTAACCACAAGCTAATTAGGTCCTTCTGGAGCTGATTCTCAGGTGGGTCAGTTTGTGTATGTTCTAGGACCCATGGGTCCTTCCAACAGACTGTCATGTGAAACTGTGAATTTCTTCTGCCACTGCAACCCCCACAAGTTTTTACAGCCTGAGGTTTTGAGGCTTTATTTCCCCATGCTGGAACCCTAGGTTGCACAGTCTGTCTTGCTCCCTAGTTGTTCCTCCCCATTTATCCACACGTGAATGTGGGTCCACCAGCTGATGCCTTGCCCACTTGGTCTTCCAGCTGCCCTCTTGCTGCATGCCCTCTCTGCCATGGCTGCCTGTCTCTGCCCCTCCTGCCAGTCTAGGTGAATATTTCTTCTTTAACTCCTTGGTTGTCATACTTCCATACAATTTGATTTTCTGGCAGTTCTGGTTGCTTTTAGTTTTTAAATTGGTCATTATCCTTCCTTTGGTTGTGCGAGGAAGCAAAGTGTACCTACTGATGCCTACATCTTAGCTGGAAGTTGAAACAACTAGAAAATTAATAACATAATATTACTTGCATTTTTTAATTTTTCAGACCTAAATAAGTTTTAATTTAAATAATACCTTCTACAAAGCACTCAAAACTGGTTTTCCAAATTAGAATTTAAAATATAAAGAACCCCCAACATTTTGAACATTTACAGTTGTGAAGTACCCTACTCAAATAGGACCCTAACCCTGACAACAGATATTATCTATTGCTGTGTAACAAATAAACCCCAAATTTACCAGCTTAAAACAACAATAACCATTTATAATCTCTGGCAGTTTTTTATGGCACAAGAACTTAGGAGTGGCTTAACTGTGTAGTTCTAGCCCCAGATCTCTTATGAGTTGTCAAAATGCTGGTGACATCTTGAACAGCGTGGCTCAGTGGGTTTGGTGTCTTCCTTCAAAGCAAAAGGCCACCAGTATGACTCCTGGTCAGGGTATATGCCTGGGTTGTAGGCCAGGTCCCTGGTTGAGGACGTACAAGATGCAACCAATTGATGTTTCTCTTGTATATCGATGTTTCTCTCCCTTTTTTTCTCCCTCCCTTCCACTCTCTAAAATGAAAGAAAAAAAGAAAGAGAAAGAAAAGAAAGAGAAAGAAAGAGAGAGAAAGAAAGGAAGGAAGGAAAGAAAGAAGGAAAGAAGAAAGAGAGAGAAAGAGAGAGAGAAAGCTGGTGACAGCTTTGGGGATCTGAGGGCTTGATGGGCTGGAAGAACTATGTGTATATTCGCCAACTTACATGGCTGCAAGTTGCTACAGGCTTTTGGTATGAGCCCTCAGTTTCCCACTCTGAATGCTCCTCTGCAAGGCTGTCTCTGTGACATGGTGATGCCTTCTCAAAAAGCAAATGTTTTGGGACAGAGGAGCCAGGTGAAAGCTACACTACTGTTAGGACCTAGCCTCAAAAGTAACATAGCACCACTTCTATTTATTCAAAGGGAGGAAAATTAATCTCCATATTTTGAAGGGAAGAGTATCTAATAATTTACAGACATGTATTAAAACCATCAGTGGTTATAGATAAATGCATATTATTTTAAAATTTTTGTAGCTTATTTGAGGTACAATTTATAGAAAGTAAAAATCGCAAATCTTAAGTGTACAGCTCAGTGACTTTTCACATGAATTTTTTCCTGTGAAAACACCACCTAGATTACATCAAAACATATAACATTTTCAGCTCCTTAGGAAGTTTTATTATGTAAACCAGAGAATGTGTTTGGCTACTTGCTGTCCCAGTAACTCACTGACATCTAGGGGCCTGAGCCACGCTTCCAGAAACCTACTAACTGAGTTTGGCACCAAGGAAGAGGATGAACATCCTCTTCCTTCCAGAAATGGATGAGCTCTTAAGGGCTGACTTTGGTGGTGGGTGCACAGCTACGCATAGTGGTGACACTCTGGTGGAGCTTCAGCCAGAGGGACAGCCAGAGACAGGACTACCAGAAATGTCCTTACAACTATGGACACTGGGAAGATGGTTTTTGAGGCCTCCCAAGATTATCTTGGGAAGGGAGTTCTGGTTCAAGTTCCTGGTTCAAGCCAGTGAGATCTCAGTATTAATGAGCATGTAAGCCCATTTGTGACCACCTACTGGTGAAGGCCCAGGATATCTGGGAAATCCCAGAGTTGGAAAGAATTTGCACTGCATCTTTTGAATGGCATCCGGTCCATACTGGACATGCACTAAATGAAAGCTTTCCCTCTTTCTCAGGGGTTCTGAGGGCTGTGCTGGGTGCACTGTGATGCCTGCTTGGCTCCTGATGGCTGAAAAAGGGCCCTGTGTCAGGCAGAGTGGCAGGAAAGATGACCTAGGACATTGTTTCAAGGCTATTGCTTGGCCTCTAAGTTCTGGTTTAGCTTAACTGAAAAGGTGACACCAAGGTCCAACTGCGGAGAGTATGTGGACACCACGGAGAAGGGTAGCTTATGGCTTTGGACAGAGGGAACAGTTTCACATGGGGTTGAGGGCCATGGAGGTGGGAAGTGGGTTGAGTCTCTTCAGATTGGGAGAGTGGGATCATGGGGACAGGTGGGGAAGGTGCTGGTAGTCAACTCTAGAAGCAAAGGTCTGAGGGCTGCTGGCCTGAACCTCAGCTTTAAGTCTGGCATTTAGCCCCCTCCGTCTGCTTCTGACTCACTCTCCCAGACTGCTCTTACCATCTGAGAGCCCACTATACCACAGATCAGAGCCCTCTTCCTCCTGGTTTGGGCCATGGACCCTAGTCTAGTTCAATTGTCTTAGGAATGTCCCTCCACCTCCACTGGGAGTCAGTTTTTTTCCCTCCAAACCCCATGAGTGACATTTCTCTATATTTTGGAAGGCTCTTGTTCCACTGCACTGCATATATCTGGCAAGATGTCTTACTTCCAGTTATGGGCTGAATTGCATTTCCTAAAATCCATATGTTGGAGTCCTAGCCTCCAGCACCTCAAAATGTGACTGTATTTGGAGATAGGGTATTTAATGGGGTGATTAAGTTAAAATGAGTCATTAGAGTGGGCTCTAATCCAATATGACTGATGTCCTTAAAGGAAGAGGACATTAGGACAAAGACACATACAGAGGGAGAATTACATGAGGACGCAGGGAAAGGTAACCATCTACAAGTCAAGGAGAGAGGCCTTACAATAAACTAACTCTGCTCCCACCTTGACCTTGAACTTTCAGCCTATACATCTGTGAGGTGATAAATTCCTGTTTCTTAACAGGCTGTGGTATTTGTTTATAGCAGCCCACAATGACTGATACACTCCCTCTGAAAGCCTGCATGTGCCCCACAGCAGGAGCACAGTCTGTGAGTGAAGATACCCTGTTCTCTCCCAGCTCCTGGGCTGGCTCCCTCAATGTCTCATCCCTGCCTTCCTTCTGGGACAATCTCCTTGCCAGGCCCTGCTCCCTTGCCCAAAGAGCCAAATGACTGACACCAAGGGGAGGGATGTGTACTACGGTGCAGGGAGGGGCAAGGGGTCCCAGTACAGGAGGTGAATGAATCTTTTATTTGTTTTTGTTTTGTTTTTTTCAGGCTTGGTTGGAAGGGGGTGGCAGCTGAGGACAAGAAAGCCAAGGAGAAGGAACCACTGAGAGCTGGTGGGGCTGGGGGAGGGGAGGCATGGAGACTAGGGCCTGAGGCAGACAGCAGAAACAGAGGAGCTTGGCAGATCACTGCAGGAGCAGAAGAGCTCAGCATGTCACTGCAGGACCTGCCACTGGGCCCTGAGCACAGACAGCAGTGAGAGCCAGGTCTGTGTAGACATGAAGGCTGTGCCAGGCCCAGGAGAGCCTTTAGCCTGCAGAGGTGGGTGTGGAAATGGGGTCTGAGGAAGAGCAGCTGTGGCATCAGGAGGAGGTGTGAGCCTCTGGATCTCGTTGATCCAGTCAGAGAAGTAGGTGACACTGGTGAACACACTGGGGTAGATGGGGTGCCGGCAGTCCAAGCCCCAGCTGGCCAGCCCTACCAGAACCCAGGCATTGAGGAGGTCACAGACGAGGGGGCTCCCGGAATCACCCTAAGAAAGAGAGGAGAGTTAGTGGGATGACAAAGTGCAAGACACCAAGTAGCCAGGTGGGGCTTGTGAGTCTCCACTGTCCAGGCCACACTAGGGTGACCCCTGTGGAAGTCCAGGTATTAATGTCCCACTGCAGACCCCATCAAAGTCACCCTGGTGGGCACTGACATTGTAGTTTAAAGAGCTTCTGGTAGACCCTCAGGAAGATCCTGGATCTACATCTATTAGTATGTAGACCCCACTCTGCTCCTGCACCCAGGGAGGGCCCAGTGGCCCTGGACAAGACACTGCCCAAGGCCATTAGGGGACAGCTACATTGACAAAGCCCAGGAGGGCTGGTCTGTGAGCAGACCTGGCCAGCTGAAGCCTCCAACAATCCCCAGCTCCTGCCACACCTTGAGCTGCAGTAGCCTAACCCTATCTGGGTCCTCTTCCTTTTTCAATCATTTAGGCTTCTGGTTTGCTCTCAGGTTCTTTAGAAAATGCCCAGGTTGACCCATGGTGGAGGCAGCCTGCATTGCTAGGGGAATAAGCAGGGGTCTCCAGAAACATCCTGGGGGCAACTGAAGTCTTGAGATGCTATTTGGCAAGGACCACCAAATTGGAAGTCCCCTCATTTCACTGATCAAAGGGATGGTCTCGTCCTTGGTGGGGTATGGAAGCAGTGGCCACACCCACCCATCCAACCTGCATAGGGAGCACCCAAGGCAACCTCTGTACTTGGGAGCATAGGGGTGAGAAGACAAGGCTTGTCCCTCATTGTGCTTTATAAACAAGCCAATTAGTCCATCATGGTCAGGTGAGACACATGGAAACAAGACATGGAAGGGAAAAGGTCAGGGAGGGTATCTCGTCTGATGATGTCATAAGACTTTTCTGAGCTGAGACTCCAAACAGGAAACAACCTACCCTTCTGATTCAGGAGCAGAGGGGACTCGACAGGTGGATGGGAAGAAGAGCAGTGAGGGGGCCATGCAGGGAGCTAGGGGGGCAAAGAGGTTGTGGGTCACAAGACCTTATGGCTGGGGGTTTGGGTTTTCCCCTCATGGAGAACTGTACTCAGGGGGTAGGTGCAAAGGGGTGACCTGATCTGTTTAGGTGGATCACTGGTGCACTGCAGAGAATGGACAGTCCTGAGTATGAATTAAAGACCAGTCAGGAGGTGGCCACTGGACAGAGGTGAGAGATTATTGGTAAAGGAGTGGCCAGGGTGCTGAGGAACAGTCAGACTTGGGATAATATTTTGAAGGAGGCGCCAATGGGACCTGTCAAATCTGAGCCTTCCTCACCAACCAGGCAGAAGATGCAGAGAAAGAAGGGAGCAAGCTGAGCATGGAGCCCTGGGATCTCCAGCATTTCATGGTGGGTGGGGAGGGGACCAAGAGCAGAGTGGAGCAACTGTGGAGTTTGGGTCCCAGGAAATGGGAGTGAGACTTCCTGACATGCCGAGTGAGCAGAGGGCTCAAGAAAACCTTGCTCTGCAAGACCAGACTGGTGGGGACATGGGCTACACGGCTTTGGTGGCATGGTAGGGACACACTTGGGTGGAGCAGTCAAAGAGACTCTACTGTCAGAGCAGTCTTTTGGGAAGAGAGGCAGAAAAACTGGGCAGGAGCAGGAGGAGATTGCTGCTATAAGTTTACACAGCAGTCATGAAAGGGAGAGACAGAGGACAAGGAGCAGGAGAGCCTCTGAGTGCCCAGTACTCCAGGAGGGGTCAGCTGGACATGAGGCTCAGAAGAGATTCAGGGTGAAGTATAGGGGATGCAGGGCCTTATGGCTGGGGGTGAAGATGGGCAGGTGCTAGTCAGACTACTCCAGTGTTCTTGGTGAAGTAAGAAGCAAGTTCTCCAGCTGACAGGGAGGACTGGGGAAGGGTGGCTTGGAGGGAGAATGGTTTATGTTGTGGCCCCCAAAGATGCACATTCTCATCCCTGGAACCCATGATTATGTTACCTTATGTGGCAAAAGGCAGTTTGCAATTTGCAGTTTCAAGATGAGGATTTGAAATAGGAAGATTATCATGGATCATCTAGGAGAACCCAGTGTAATCCCAAGGGCCCCCATGAGGAAAAAGGGAGGAAGAAGATCAGAGTCAGAGAAGGTGATGTGATGAGAGAAGCAGAGGCTGAAATGATACCTTTCAAGGACGTAGGAAGGAACCAAGAACCAAGGAATGTGGGAAGCCTCTAGAAGCCGGAAAAAGCAAGGAAACATTCTGCCCTAGAGCCCAGAGGGAACCAGCCCTGCCCACACCTTGATGTTTTACTTTGGGCCTCTAGAAATATAAGATAATAAATGTCTGTTGTTTTAACCACCCTGTTTGAAGTGATCTGTCACAACAGCTTCAACAAACTCATACATTGGGACAATGAGGCTGCACCATCATTGCTGCAGCTCTTCCCTTCAGTGGTTTCCAGTTGCAGTGCCCATGGCTTTCCCCACAGTGTACCCACCCCCAGTCATTTGAGGCCAGGGAAAGGCCTGGTGCCTGCCTGGAGCAGTTGTCCCTGTTCACTCCAGGCCTTAGCAATTCACGCAGGTGAACTATGTGGTTACCAAAATGACAATGTCTTCTGGGCCAGTCTGGAACAGATGGAAAAAGCTCCAACAGCCTCCTGGCTCCAGGGAAGCTCTCAGAAGGCAGAGAAAACATCAGCACTCACATATCCCATGCAAAGTGAGTTGTGGTTCCCACCAGCATAAAGACAGAGCAAATTTTGTGTATGCGCGCGTGTGTGTGTGCGTGTGCGTGTAGGCACACTCATGTGTACAGGCATACGCAGTGGGGTGGGGCAGTGAATTCTACTTTTGGTGAGAGGATGGGTGTAACACAGACCCAGAAGTTCAAGGACAACTCAAATAGAGGGTGGCAGGCTACAGAGAACAGCCAGCACTTGTTAACCACCTACTAAATGTGAGGCACTGTGTTAAATTTTCTAAAGGAAACTTATGAAGAGAAGAGTGTTAGCAACCCCAGTTCATGGGTGAGGAAACAGCTAACGTCACAGAACCAGTAAACAACAGATTGAAGACTGGAACCAGATCTGTCCTGCCCCATAGTCTGAGCTGCAATTCATCCTGTGGCTCTGACTCTCCTCAGTGCTGTTTCTGTGTGTCCCATGTAAGAGGAGGGACAGTTCAAGGGGGGAGAAGGGAGCCCAAAAGTAGAGGGTAAAGATGATTCTAGGAGATGAGTTCAGAGGAAATCCCAAGTACAGGCTGTGGTGAGAGAATGACTAAGGGAGGAAGAAGGACCCCAGGTGTCCAGGTCATTTGTGTCCTCAGCCTGGGAAGAAACTGGAGGAGGAGCATGGTCAAGTGGCAAACAAAATGCACTGTCCCTGCACTCCATGGCATGGCCTTTGCAGGAGAAGGTGTAGGACAAGCTGGAAGGGAGATCTAATGTGACAGCCAAAGAGGGACTCAGAGGCTGAGCCCTTTTCTCCACCTCTGGGTGCAGCTAGCTCTGTGAAGAGGATGGGCCAGGTCAGATAGCCAGCAGGTCCATACTATTAGCTATGGACTGGGAGCTAAGAAACCTGTGTCTGTCTTCTACCAGGAGGGAAGATGGTCAAGCTTCCACCCTCTGGCTCAGCAGTCTACTGGAAAGTAAGGGAAACAGCTGTCCACAAGGCCTTCCCATAGGCCAGATGCATCTCATCCTTCCTGTCTGCCTTTCCTGGGGCTGCCATAACCCATCACCAGAAACTGGGTGGCTTACAAAAATAAAAGAAATTTATTTTCTCACAGTTCTGGAGGCCAGAAGTCTGAAATCAATAGTCTCTGTGTCTTTCCCTCTTCTTATAAGAACACCAGTCATTAAATTCGGGATCTACTGTAAATTCAGAATGGTTTCATGTCAAGATTCTTAACTAATCATGACTGCAAAGACCCTATTTCCAAATAAGGTCACCTTCTTAGGTTCCAAGTGGACAAGAATTTGAGAAACACTCTTCAACCCTCTCCACCATCCTTTCAACAATCCGACAAAGAAAGCCACCGAAAGCCACACTGTGAAGGAGGACATCTACTCCGAAGGTGATGAGGCTACCCGAGGTCACAGGGTAGAGACTTGTCATAGAGCACTGTGCCTGACCCCAGGGCCCTAACACTCTCCCTCTCCTCCATGGCACCATCCATGCAAGAGCTCAGAGCACCAAAGCCAGCTCAGGAGGCTGGGCCCTGGGGGTACTATGGAGTTGGGTTGGAGCTTGGTGTTAGAACACCAGGTCAGACTGTGCTGCCTTACTAGTCTAGCCACTTTTCCTCTCTGGGCCTATATGCACACCTGTAAACTGGGACAATACAAAGAGTGAAAACAGATATTCATAATCCATATGTCCAACAGTGGACTCATATCCAGAACATACAAATATACCAACAGCTCCTAAAAGAAAAAGAATCCAACAGAAAAATGGGAGGGGAAAAACTTGAAAGAAAATGTTACAGAAAAAGATATCTAATGCCAATAAACATATGAAAACATACTTAATTAGCCACCAGGAAAATGAAAATTAAAACCACAATAAATATTATTATATATCCACCAAAATAAGAACACTTGGAAAGAGCTGAGTGCTGGTAAATATATAAACCCATCCACTGCTGGAGGGAGTGGAATTGGTGCCACCACTTTGGACATGTTTGGTGATATCAACCAAAGCTGAACATCACATACCTGTGATTTCAAAAATTCTACTCATGGACTTCTGTGAAATAAAATATAAAATTTATGAAACACTTGGAAATGGAATAAAATAAAAAGCTTGGAAACTACTAAAATATCCATCAAGAGCAGAAGTGATCATAGAATACAATTCACGTGATAGAGTCCTATAGAGCTGTGAGAATGAACCAACTATAACCACATGTGATGTTTGCATGGTATTACAAACATAATTTTAAGACAAACAGGTGGCCATCTCTTCCAGTCAAGATGGTGGCCTATGCAACCATGGCTCTCCTCCTGACACAACCACATCAAAATTACAACTAAAATGTAGAACAAACATCACTCAGAACTGTCAGAAAACAAGTTGAATGGAAGCCTGACAACTACAGAATTATAGAAACCACATCCATCCAGAGTTGTAATACAGGCAGATACATGGAATGGGCTGGTCCCATATCCACATGTGGTGGATAAAAATTCAGGAGGGCTATCTCAGGAGTGAGGAGTCCCAGCCCCATACTTGTTCCCCCAGTAGACATTTCCAGTGTCAGGAAGATAAGTCCCCATAAATTTTGACTGCAAAAACCAGTGAAGATTGAGTCAGTAGAAGAAACTTCTGGAGTCTTAAGCATTTCCTATTGAAGAACTCAAATATAGACTTACTCATACTCACTCCCTCTGAACTACAGAACTAGGGTAGCAGCCTGAAAGATACCAGTGGCACACAGGGAAGAACTGAAGCATCTGGCATCAAAGTGGGAGTTGAGGGATAACTTTCTCCCAGATGAGAAAGAGGGCAGAAGTCATTGTCTGTTTACTGAGCCCTTGCCTCACATAGCCACAGACGTGAGAGGTGGATGCCATATCTCAGACTCCATCAACCTGGCTAATGTTTTTTGCCCCACCCTGGAGATCCCCTGAGACTCCATCCCACTCAACTTACAGGCACACTCAAACTGTTAACCATGGCTTTTCCATATGAGTGGCTATCTTGGCTCATGCTCACAACTTCCTAAATCCTAGCAAACAAGCAATAGCCTGCCTCAGTAGGCCCCCAGCCTTGGTACCTTTTGCAAAGTGGCCCCAGACCAGACACTGGTAGCAGCTAGCACAGATTCACAGCTTGGCTTCATCTTGCCTGGGAATCTCCAAGTCCAGCACAAGTAGCAGCCATTTCATATTGCTTTATAGCTCATGCTTGGTGGACCCAGGCAAAACGCAGGTGGGATTTGACCTTGTCCTGCATCACTTGGGAAACCCCAGAGCCCACACACCCACTGGACAGCTACAGACCATGTTGGAACACCACCACCATACCCCTGCACAACTGATCCTCCATAGAGGATGGAGGTTGGTGGTCAGCGGTCACACCCAATCCTTGCAGCTGACTGGCCTGGGTAAATCCTCCTCACTGACCTGCCAACAGCAACCAGGGCTCAAACTATAAGAAGAGGGTGTACTCAGTCCATATGAAAGGCATGCCTCAAGTACCCAGCTTGGGTAATAGAGGAGGCTGTGCCACTGGACTCTATAGGACACATACTACATTAGGTGATGCTGCCAAGACAGGGAGTCATAGCAGCTCTACCTAATACATGGAAACAAACACAGAGAGGCTGCCAAAATGAGGAGACAAAGAAACATGGCCCAAAAGAAAGGACAGATCAAAACTCTAGAATAAAAACTAAACAAAATGGATATAAGCAATCTATCACATGATATGCAGAGTTCAAAACACTGGCTGTAAGGATGCCCAAGGAACTTAACGAGGACCTCAACAGCATAGAAAAGATCCAGTCAGAAATGAAGTGAAGCTGAGAATCAAATCAGTGAAATGGAGTATAAGGAAGCAAAGAGCAACAAGAAGAAAAAAGAAACCCCCCAAATGAGGAAGTATAGGAAGCCTCTGGGACAACTTCAAGCATTCCAACATTCTCATCATAGGGGTTCCAGAAGAAGAGACAGAGTAAGAAACTGGAAATCTGTTTGAAAAAATAATGAAAGAAAACTGCCCTAATTAGTTAAAGAAAATAGATATGCAAGTCCAGGAAGCACAGAGTCCGAAACAAGATGGAAGCAAAGAAGCCCACACCAAGACACATTATAATTAAAATGCCAAAGGTTAAAGATAAAGAGAAAATCTTAAAAGCAGCAAGAGAAAAGAAATTAGTTACCTACCTGGAGTTCCCATAAGACTGTCAGCTGATTTCTCAAAATTTCTCAAAAGAAATTTTGCAGGCTAGAAGGGTGTGGCAAGGAATATTCAAAGTCATGAAAAGCACGGACCTACAGCTAAAATTGCTCTCCCCAGAAAAGCTATCATTTAGAACCAAAGTGCAGAAAAAGAACTTCCCAGACAAGAAAAAACTAAAGGAGTTCATCATCACCAAATCATTATTATATGAAATGTTAAAAGGACTTATTTGAGAAAAAGAAGATCAAAACTATGAACAATAAAATTACAATAAATACATATGTATCAACAATTGAACCTAAAAAACAAACTAAGCAAACAAGAAGAACAGGGAGAGAATCATGAAAACAGAGAGGATTTTGAGGGTTGCCAGATGGGAGGTGTATGTGGGGGAATGCGTGAAGAGGTTAGGGGATTAAGAAGTAGCAATAGATATATATAATAGCCATGGGGATAAGTACAGTATAAGAAATCGAGTAGCCAAAGAACCTATGCATGACCCATGGACCTGAACAACCATGTGGGTGTTGCCTGAGGGAGTAGGGGTGCTGGGTGGAGTGGGGCAAAGGAGGAAAAATTGGGACTACTGTAATAGAATAATCAATAAAATATAATTTTAAAAAAGACACAAAAGATGGCCAACTGGGAATGCTTGTAGAAAATTCATAATCTAATCTAAGGTGTTAAAAGTTAATACCATATGATCTTACCTAAAGTGGAACCTAATCAAACAAAACAAACAAGGAAACAAAATATGAGCAGTGACATTGAAATAAAGAACTAACTGACAGTAACCAGAGGAGTGGGGAGGGGAATAATGGGGGAAAGAAGGGGAAAGGTCATCAAGGAACATGCATAAAGGACCCATAGACAAAGCCAAAGTGAGTAAGGATTGAGGGTGGGAGGTGGGGGTGGCTGGGGTGGGGGAAAGTTGTGGCATAAAAATGGAGACTACTGTACTTGAACAACAATTTTTTAAAAGTGAAGATAGTAGTTCCCTGAAGTGTTAGTGAGATGAAAAGGTATGAGTGGGAAATCTGGGGAACAGGTCACATGTGTCAGTATGTGAATGTTCATTAAACTATGTACTTAGTAATTATATACTCTGTCATATACTCTTTTGAATGTATATTATACTTCAATAAAAAGTTTAAAATATGCCTAAAAATAGGTGTTGTTTGTGATTCCTCCCAGCAGACACCATCATGGGGGGTGGGCTTAGGAAGGGACTAGCCTGGGGGACACTGCTGAGTGATGGAGCACAGGAAAGACATGCAAAGAAAGGAAACAGGAAGTCCTAGGGGTTGCATAAAGGGAGTAAAGGCAACACAGGCTCTCCCCGGGGAAACTGAGGCCTTGAGCTCAGTCAAGGGAAGAATAGTAATGGCCTCACTCACTTGGCAGATGGCCTTTCCTGTCAAGAAGTCCCCGGAGCATAGCATCTCCTCATGCACAGGGTAGGTCTTGCCTTTGCCAAGTCTTTGCTCATATAACATATTACAGAACTTGTTCTCAATAAGATTCACTTTGCCCTCCTGGAGATGGAAGGGTGGGAGTAGATGTGCTGCAAGGATAAGAAGATCAGTGAAGGGTGCTGTAGCCTAGCTGGAGAGGCCAGGCTACTCTGGGCCCCAACTCTGTCTTACTGCTCACCACTGCCCCCTAAACATGGAATTTTCTCAGCACACCTGAGCTTTCAACATGGTTTCAGTCTGCTACTATAGCAAATTAGCTCCTCTTCTGTTTCTCAAAGGTTTTCAAACTCATCCCATTCTCTACCTCTGTCATAACAGTAGACCATACATCTTCCATTGCACAAAGAAAAGGGACAAATCTCATTGACACATGCCATGCACTGGGGCTTAGCAACCATTCACCAACCCACCTACCCTTTTCATGACCATTCCATCCACTCCCATTCTCCATTTGTCTATCCTTAACTTTCCCACTCTTCCATCTATTAATTCCTCCACCCATCTACCCATATTTCCTCATACCTTCACTTATCCACTCATTCTTCCATCCATTTGTCCATCACCCACCTTTTCATCCATCCCTGTACCACTCTCCTACCCATTTTCTTCATCTATCAATATGTCTTCCCCTTCCATCCATCTTCCTGCCATCTGGCCACCCACCCACCCATCCATCTTCCTTCCACCCACACATTCTCTCACCTATACCCCCAATCCGTCCTTTCTCCCAGCCACTCATCTACTTATCTATCTCTGTGGTCATCATCTTCTAAACACTAATGATACAGGAGAATGCTTTAATTGGGGGAGATATGGTAAGTGATATAAATACAATGATTTTACATTTAATAAGTAGTGAGTGTGAAGGAAATAAAACAGGAAGATGTGATACTGGGACTGTATATTTTAGCTCACACAATCAAGTAAAACTTCTCAGAGGAGGAGCTGAGTTGTAAATGTAATGTAGAAATGAGTCATGTAAAGATTATGGGCAGAGAAGAGAGTCAAGGTCCAGACCCTGAGGTGAGGATGAACTTGGGATGTTTAAGGCAGAGAAGAGACCACCTGGTAACTGGGGTGGCATGCATGAGGGATGCAGTAGGAGATAAGACAGAGAGGGATTGGAGCCAATGTCATGCAGGAGTTTCTATAAGGTATAGAGGTTGGACTGTTTTCTAAACACATATGACAAGGCACTTAGAGTGCTGAGTGGGGAAGTGGCATGACTTGTTTTAATGCAAACAGACAGCTATGTGGAAACTAAAGCAGAGAACATAGAGTGGGAGCTGGGAGACCAACCTGGAGGTCCAGGCAAGAAAAATTAGTCTATTGAACCAGAGTGGCAATAGTGAGGTACCTAACAAGTGCCAGGCCCTGTGGCACAGATTGTAATATTAAAACAAGTGAGATGTGGTTCCCACACTCAAGGAAGAACCAGCTTCTGTGTGCGTGTGTGTGTGTGTGTGTGTGTGAGAGAGAGAGAGAGAGAGAGAGAGAGAGAGAGAGAGAGAGAGAGAGAGAGAATAAATATGTTGAGGCCCTGGTTGTCCTATGATTAGGGGGAGTTCCTGAAACATAGTAAGCAAGGGCCAGGGATGCTAGTATCTCACACCCAATGAAGACATGGTCTGTTCAAAATGTCTGTACCACCTCTGTTGAGAAACACCATACTAAACTATGACCCTACAAATAACTACAAATATATGTTATTTTTTTCCTGTACATAATGAGCATTTCTCCAAACCATTAACACTCTTTTCTTTAATAAACACTTTTGTCCATAAGTCTTTGCCTACATTTCTTCCTTCAAGATAAAAAATAACAAATGTTTTTTTTTTCTGTGTTATTCAGTTCACCAAATGAGCCTATGAAGTAGACAATTTACCAAAATGAGGTCTAATTTGATCATGTAGGTTCAAGGGTCAGAAGCCATAAAGATGTTTTCTTTTCACTTTTCCCAAGCATCTTCTCTAGAAATGGGAAATCAGGGTGTTTGGCAGTGGCCTGGAATGGGCCAAGCTCCAATCATAAACTTTGAATTGAATCAAGGCATCTCAGATCCATGGATGATTAAAACCTTGGAACCATGAAGACTGTAAGACTCCAGATTCTTGATTTCAAAAGTCAAAGTCCCAGACTTTCACAGCCTTCAACTTAAGGAATTCTAATGCTTTAAAATTACATACTTTTCAGAACTAGAACTAGAATTGTCCAGTCCTCTGGAAATGAGGCATAAAGGGGCAAAGACCAGTGGTCTCTTTGCATGGGGACCTTTCAACCTGAGCTATTCTTCTCTCCTTCCCACTCCTCTCCTCCACCCTACTTCCCCTCATACCCCTCCCTGCTTTCACCCACCCACCTCTCCCACACCCCCTCACTGTCCTCGCTGAGCATCCCCCAGCCAGTTATCCAGCAGGATGAGTGACTGGGCAGCTGCATTCCAGGGGTTGGGAGGCAGGCAGGACTAATGTAGGAGGTGAAATTCACAGGCAGGTGCAGCTGCAACATGGCTATGTCACTTCCGAAAGGGTGGAACTTCTCAAAGTCTGGGTGCATAATAATCCGGTTCACTGACATCTTCCAGGTGTGCTGGGTGTGCTGGTACAGCTGGGTGCTTCCCAACAGAATCTGGTAGTCCTCTGGGGAATGGGATTTGCTGGAGGAGGAAGGGCCAACTGTCACCATCATCTCTGAGTATTTGGGCCAGTTCTCTCTCCCTGCATCCTTGTCTAACTGTCCACACCCTTGTGAGCCTCCTGTCCCACATGGTGCAGGCAGATTTTGTCTTCCTTAACTGTCAGGAGCCTCTCTTTCTTGAGGCTGATTGATAGTCTCCTCACACCCTCCTGACACATGGCTTCCCCATCGCACCCTAGAACTGAAGGAACAGATATCTAATGCTAGAGGGGTCTTTGGTGGGGCCTCTGGACTGTACACAAGAGGAGTTCTGGCTCAACTGTAGCTTTAACCTGACCAATCCCAAATCCTCCTATGACCTTCCTCCTGGTTCCAACACTTTTCCTGCCCCTCCTTTCTTCAAGCACCTTCTTGCCCAAGGGCTGTTTATTCACTTGGTTATAAGCACTCACAAAAGATGTGTTAGATGAGCAAATGAATGCAGAAAACAAAACCCCACCTTGATCCCTGAACATGTGTGATAAAATTCCCGCTTTCCTGACTTTTTTCACATGGCTCATGTACCTGGAAAACCCTTCCTCTCAGGCCAGCGCCTCTTGCTCCACATCAGCTGGAACACAGCCCATCTCCTGACCTCCCTACATCTCCCTTTGGCCCTTCCCACCCCATATTGGTCTTTATTTCCTGACAGAATGGAGGCACAGCAAGGTAGGGTCTTGCCTCCCCCTATGCCACAGAGGGGCTCACATGGAATGTGGCACAGAGAAGACATCAGTAAGATTCTGGGCTCTCAAAGCCAGTTGGAAATGAACCCCAACTTCCTGACTAAGGCTGTGATGCCTAGCTTCCTTGAGGCTTTTTCTTGTCTGTTTAGAAGCTAGGCATTGAGCCTGACCCAGAAGGGCTGAAGGAGTTGAGACTCCTAAGTGGCCATGTCACTCTCTAAGGTCACACATAACCTGGCACCACAGCTCATCCCAGGCATGCAGTTTTTGCTAAAGTAATGAGAATTGCTCAGCTGCTGCTTGTCATTGCAGCCCCAGGTCCCTATATAGATTCTGATACTCAGGAATAAGAGCACACTGAGGAGAAGCTGTGGTCCGAGGTAGCAAACAGACAGTCTACAGTGCATGGAAGCTTGGATGGACACTGCCAATCTCCTGGGGGACAGACACAGGGACTGAGGATGAAGGATGAGGAGGATCTGGTAAGGTTAGTAGGAAAATCATTCCATGTTGAGGGGATGGAGGTCAAAGGAAGGAATGACATGTATTTGAAGGCCACAGACTGCATCAGAGCAAAGCCCAGAGAAACTGGCATGGAACACTTGTCACCCATCTTTTCCTCTTTCCCTGCATCCTCCTCCCCTACCAGCCAATCTGCTGGAGCCCCAGGAAGGAGGACTCACTTGAGAAAGCAGTGGGCAGTGGAAACCAGCCAGCAGGAGTCGATGAGGACAGCTCCGCAGATGTGCAAGTTTCGGTAGAGCAGGCTGGCCTGCCATGGCCACTGGCCAGGGACCACGTCCTGGCCACCATAGATCTTCCCCATCACCTTGGGCTTCCCACACACTGTAGAGACAACCCCGGCTTATGTTAGAGACACCAGCAGTATCCCAAATGCCATTACCAGAGAGGCCCTTTTCTACCTCACAGATGGGGAAAACAAGGCCAAGGGTCAAGTTGCCTGGCCAAAATCATAGGACTGCCTGGACTCTGCCTTTACTGGCTGCTGCCAAAGACTGGACAGCAGACCCCAGGTGAGCAAGCCCCATAGGGTAGGGCAAGAGGAAACAAGGGTGGCCACGGAAGCTCAGAGCAGCATCTGGTGTGAGAAAGATATCCATGAGTGGGCCTGCCAAGGACTGGGCATATCACAGACATTATTTCCCTCTATAGCACATGCTATGTCTACTCTGAAGATCAAAGAACTAAAGGCCTCAGAGGATAACAATCTGCCATGCTGTGCCCCTCCACCTCACCACTGTACCTCAGACAGACAGGTTCACAGGCATGAGTCTGGTGTTATGTGACCTGGGGAAATTTGCTCCCCCTCTTTGACTCAAGATTTTACATTTCTGAAAGAAGAGGGGTGACACCAGTGGAGCTCCAAAATTTATAAAGCAAATACTTAGGGACATAAAGTAAGAGATTGGAAATAATACAGTAATTCCAGGGGACTTTAATACCTATTGATATTAATGGATAGATAATCCAGACAGAAAATCAACAAGAAACAGCAGCTTTAAATGACACATTAGACCAGATGCCTTTAATTGATATTTTTGGACCTTTTCACTGCAAAGCAGCAGAATATACATTCTTTTCAAGCGCACATGTAATATTTTATAGGATAGACCACATGTTAGAACACAAAAAGAGTCTGAATGAATTTAAGAAGATTTAAATTATATCAAGCATCTTTTCCAACCACAAAAGTACAAAACTACAAAGTAATTACAGGAAGAAAAGTGAAAAACAAACACATGGTGGCTAAATAACATGCTGCTAAACAGTGAATGTGTTAACAATAAGGTCAAGGAAGAAATCAAAAGATACCTTGAGACAAAAGAAAGTGAAACACAATGACCCCAAATCTATGGAACATAGTAAAAGCAGTTCTAAGAAGGAAACTCATAGCAATATGGGTCTATTTCAAGAAATAAGAAAAAGGTCAAATAAAGAATATAACTTTACACCTAAAAGAACTAGAATAAGAACAACAAACAAAGTCCAACATGAGCAGAGGGAAGAACATAATAACAGTCAGAGCATAAATAAATATAATAGACTTTAAAAAAATACAAAACATCAGTGAAACCAAGATAAGAAATACAAGATAAGAAATACAAAGGATTTTAAGAACATACTAAAAACAATTATAGGCCAACACTTTGGACAATCAGAAGAAATGGATAAATTCCTAGCAATCTGCAATCTTTCAAGACTGAATCAAGAAGAAACATAATATCTGAATGGATGAATCAAAATAATAATTTAAAAAATAAAAACAAACGAAAATCTCAACCAGGTGGCTTCACTGGTAAATTTTACTAAACATCCAAAGAAGAATTAACACCTATGTTTCTCAAAAAATTCCAAAACTTCAAGAGGAAAGAAGGCTCCCAAACTCATTTTATTTATGTTTATTTTATTTTATTTTATTTATAGAATTACCTTGATTCCAAAACCAATGGCATTACAAAAAGAGAAAACTGTAAGCCAATATCCCTCATAAACAAAGATGTAAATATTCTCAACAAAATATTAGTAAACTGGATTCAGCAATACATCAAAAGGACCATATAGCATGATCAAGTAAGATTTATTACTCGGTTAACTATATGCGAGTCAACTAATGTGATATACCACATAAATAAAATGAAGGATAAAAATCATCATATTAATAGATTTAGAAAAAGAATTTGACAAAATCCAGCATCCACTTATGTTAGATAAAGTTAGAATAGAGGAAACATACCTCAATATATACAAGGCCATATGTGATGAACACACAGCTAACATCATAGTCAACAGTGAAAAGTAAAAAGCATTTTCCTTAGATCAGAAACAAGACAAGGGTGTCCTCTTTCATCACTTCTATTCAACATAGTATAAGAAGTCCTAGCCACAGCAATCAAACAAAAAAAAGAGCTACAGGGAATAAAAATTGGAAAGGAAGAAGTAAAACAGTTATCATTTGAAGATGACATAATACTATATAGAGAGAACTCTAAAGATTCCATGAAAAATCTACTAGAACTGATAGATAAATTGAATAAAATAACAAGATACAAAATTAAAGTTAAAATTGATTGCATTTTTATATATCAATAATGAATTATCAGAAAGAAATTAAGAAAACAATGCCTTTAAAATTGTGTCAAGAAATACCTAGGAATAAATCTAACCAAGGAGTCAAAAGACCCATACTCAAAAAATTATAAGACATCAAAAATTATAATTTCAAAGAAAGAAATTAAAGAATATACAAACAAATGGAAGCATATATTATGTTCATGGATAGAAAGAATTAATGTCATTTAAATGTCTATGTTACCCAAAGCAGTCTATAGATTCATTGCCACCCCTATCAAAATACCAATGGCATTTTTTTGTAGAACTAGAACAAATAATTCTATAATTTAAATGTAACCAGAAAAGGCCTTGTGAAAGAAGAGGAAAGTTGGAAGTATCAAGCTACCTGATATCAAACTGTGCTACAAGGTTATAGTAATCAAACTGCATGATATTACCATAAGAACAGACACACAGGTCAATGCAACAGAATAAAAAGCCCAAAACCCACACCTATATGGTCAACTAATCTATGAAAAGAAGGCAAGAATATAAAATGGGGTAAATACAGTCTATTTAAGAATTGGTGTTGGAAAAACTGGACATGTGCATACAAGAAAAAGAAAGAAAAAGAAAGAAAGAAAGAACGAAAGAAAGAAAGAAAGAAAGAAAGAAAGAAAGAAAGAAAGAAACTAGACCACCTTCTTATACCATATACAAGAATAAACTTAACATGGTTTAAAGATTGAAATGTAAGAGCTGAAACCACAAAAAACCTAGAAGAAAACAAAGGCAAGAAACTGACATTGCTTTTAGTGATTTTTTTTTTTTATATATCTCCTTGGGAAAAGGCAGCAAAAGGAAATATACACACATTTACTATATCAAACTAAAAAGTTATTGCATGGCAAAGAAAATGATCAACAAAACAAAAAGAGATATTCACCAGTGATACATCACTAAGGTGTTAACATTCAAAGTTTATAAAGAACTCATACATCTTAAAATCAAAACACTGAATAATCCAATTAAAAAATGGGCAGCAGATCCAAATAGACATTTCTCCAGAAAGGACATGCAGATGGCCAATAGACATATGAAAAGAATCCCTATGTTACTAATCATTAGACGAATGCAAATTCAAACTACAATGAGATATTACCTCACACCTATCAGAATGGTTACCATCATTATATCAACAAACAACAACTGAAGGCCAGAATGCAGAGAAAGGGAACCCTCTTTCATTGTTTTTGGGACTGCTAATTGGTGCAGCTACTATGGAAAAACAGTATGGAAGGACCTAAAAAAATTAAAAATAGTTCTACCTTATGACATAGTAATCCCACTTCTGGGTATTTATCCAAAAACTATCCAAAACACTAATTTGAATATATATCCCTATGTTTACTGCAGCACTACTTACAATGGCCGATATATGGAAACAACCCAAGTGCCACGAATAGATGATTGGATAAAGAGGTGGTACAAATATTTTATACTATGGAATGTTACTTGGCCATTAGAAAGAATGAAATCTTACCATTCGTGACAACATGGGTGGACCTACAGGGTATTATACTAAGTGAAATAAGTCAGACAAAGACAAATATTATATGATTTCACTTATATGTGAAATATAAAAAATAAAATAAACAAACTAAACAAAAACACACTCCTACAGAGAAGAAACTGATGGTTGCTAGTTGAGTAGGGGTTTGGGAAGACTGGGTAAATACAGCGAAGAGATTAAAAACTACAAATTGGTAGTTACAAAATAGTCACAAGGATGCAAAATACAGCACAGGGAATATAGCCAATAATGTAATAACAATATATGATATCAGGTGGGTACTAAATGTACTGAGGAATTATTTCATAAATTACACAAATATCTAACCACTATTCTGTACAACTGAAGCTAATATAAAATAATATATTGAATATCAACTGTAGTTTAAAAATAAAAAAAAAAGAGGGAATGGGCTATGATTATAACTCTGGTTCTAGGATTCACATCCTAGGGAAAGATGGGGTGCAGGGGTGCACCAGGCACTCTGAGAGGTAAGTCCTTGTCCAGAGCTTGTGCTTAGGTTTCAGGAAGAGGACTAGGACGCCTGGGCTCAACTCAGGGCCATTCATTCATCAGTCCTGGTGCTCTAACCCACCCAGCGACCGTTCCGCGGCCCCACCCCCAGGTCATGAGGCAGTTCCCACCAGAAGCCCCAGGAGTGGAGTAAGCACCTGAGACCGACTTGTGCTGAGTGGTCTCTGGGTTGCTAGTGTAGGAGAGGACAGAGAGGACATGAGATTTGGGTGACGCTGCGCACTGGGTCCTGTCCACACTCCAGCTCCCCAGCCCTGTAGTGTCTCTTATTTACCCCGCCCAGTGCCACCCATGCACCTCGGACTCCTGGGGCCAACCGCTGAACAGAGGAGGCGGGGGCACAGCTCTCCAATGTCTCGCCGGGAACCGGGGCAGGAGTGGCCGTGGATGGGGACCGTTGCTGTCTTGAGGTGGCCAAGGGCGGTAGCAGCAATAACCAGAGCAGGGACACTGTCCGGCATAAGCCTGGGTGGGTCGGCGCCTCGGTGTCCATCATCAGGGCCACTGATCTCGGCCTGACCTCAACCTGACCCCAGCCCTGACCCCGCCCTGACTCTGGCCTTACTCCCATTTAAACCTGGCTCTGACCCTGGCCCCCACCCGTCCCTGGGTCGACCTCAACCACCGGCAACCTTTAACCCCAGAATGCCCCACCCTGACCTAGCCTTGACCCAACACTGACGTGGGGCATTGACTCCTCCCAGAAAGGCTTCCCCTATTCATGCCTGGCCTTTGACCAGGAGGTTGTATGGCTTAAACTACAATGCAACCAGAACTCTTACCAATTAATGAGAAAAGAGATTATGCAAAGAAAAATGGGAATGAGTATGAAAGATAATTCATGAAAGAATAAATTGAAAAGACTCATTAACAGGAAAATATGGTCAATCTATTTAGTTATCTAGAAAATGAAAATTAAAATGTCATTTTCAACCATCAAATTCTAAACATTTTCTGATTGATAAAGACCCCTAATCTGTTAATCTGTTAAAGATCTCTGATCTGTTAATCAGAGATTTTTCCTTGGAGTGAGGGAAGCATACAAATTTGGAAAACATGTTCCCTATTGTCTACTCCAGGATATAATGTCTTGGATTTCTTATACTAGAGATAAGATGCTAGCATTTCACATTTGTTTTCTATGTATTTGTCTTCATCACTAGACTGTAAACTCTAGATTACAGGGAAATTATTTTATTCACCACTAAGTCTAGGGATAAGAGAGTAAAAAAATAGCGCCACATACAGTATACACTAAAATATCAAGTTAATAACTACTGCTCTTATTAATAAAAATAGAAACCAAAAGTACCACAGTCTTACTTGGTTAAGAACTTTAACTTCAATAAAATTTTTAAAATATTTAGGATCTGATAAAGTTATGCTAGTGTTAGGAAGAATTTATACTTAAATATAGACACTGTAACAAGGGTAAATATTTAAAAGGAACAATAGGATTGATGGTGGAGGTGAAGATAACGAGGACCATTTCAAATGAATTAATATTGAAGTATCTATAGAATATTGAGTGGGATTTGTTCAATAAACATATTAACTGCCACTTTAGAGTATGGGAAGTGTATCTGGGCTGCAGATATAGTGTAGTAGGAGATGTAGTACTTTAGGAATTGAGGTGACAATTGAAGACTTAAGAGTAGGTAAATCATCAAAACAAAGCATGTAGAACAAAATTACAGACGAAAACATAGAAAAGAGCCAAATTAAAAAAATAAAAAGGAGCCAGTAAGAGACTGAGGCCTGCAAGTGGTAAATTTAAATATAGAAAGATTAAAAATATGTGATTTCTTATTCACTTTTTTGAAATTTTACTGAGATATCATTATATACCATGACATCCACTCAAGACAAGAGAAAAATTCGTGACTTTCAGTTAATTTTTAGAATTGTGCAACTATCAGCAAATTTGCATTAATCTTGGCTTTCACTCCCAGCTTTAGACAATGAGTGATCTGCTTTATATCTCTAAATTTGTGTTTTCTGGAAATTTCATGTAAATGGAATCACACAATATATTGTCTTTTAAGTCTGACTCCTTTCACTTAGCATAATGTTTTTGAAGTTCATCCTTGCTGGGGCACATATCAGTATTTTGTTCCTCTTCATTCCATTGTATTGTTGTAACACATTTTGATTATCTATTGATGGACATTTGCATTGTTTGCAGTTTGGGGCTATTATGAACAAAGCTCCTATGAGTATTCATGTGCAAGTCTTTGAGTGGATATATGTTTTCATTTCTCTTGGGTAGATTCCTAGGGTGAAATTGCTGGTAAATTTATCTTTGAAGTTTCAATAACTGCCAAACTGCTTTCCAAAGTGTCTGTATCATTTTACATCCCCACCCCAGTTCTACTTTTTCTGCATGATTGCCAACACTAGGTGTTAGCCATCTTTTTCATTATATGCATTCTGTTAGGTGTGAAGCAGTATCTTATTGTACTTTTATTTTGCATTTCCCTAATGACTAATGACATCGACCATGTCTTTTTCTGCTTAATGGCTACTCATATATCATCTTTAGTGAAATGTCTATTCAAATCTTTCACCTATTTCAAAAAGTATGATGTTCTTTCATTATTGCAAAAGTTCTTCAAATATTATATTCTGGATATAAGTTCTTTACCAGAGAAGTGATTTGCAAGTATTTTCTCCAATTTTTGCCTTGACTATTCATTCTTTTAGCAGTGAGTTTTAAAGAGCTAAAGTTTTTACTATGATACATTTACACAATGGTATACTACGCAGCAGAAAGAAAGAGCTACTACCTTTCGTGACATCATGGATGGAACTGGAGAGCATTATGCTAAGTGAAATAAGCCAGGTGGTGAAAAATAAATACCATATGATCTCACCTATAAGTGGAACCTAACCAGCAAAGCAAGCAGGCAAGGAAAATATGACTATCAATATTGAAAGACAGAGGAAACCGATAGGAATGGAAGGGAGGGAAAAAGGGAGAGAGGTAGTGCAGAGGGGAAGGGGAATGGTTAGACCAAGGAACAGGTGTGAAGGACACATGGACAAAGCCAAGGTGGAGAGGGATTGAGGGTGGGAGGTAGGGATGAGTGGTGCAGGGGAGAGTGGTGGCAGGTAAATGGAGACAAATGTACCGAAACAATAAAATAATTTTAAAAAAATACAGGGAAACTGAAGAACTTACTGCAAAATACATAAGCATGAAAAAGGGCATAAAAACTATCAACAAGAGGCAAGAGAAAATGAAGATACAAGTTCTGAATTGAAGAACACAGTAAAACGAATCAAAAGCAGGCTAGATAAAGCAGGGGATAGAATTAGTGAGCTGGAGGAGAAGGTAGAAAAAAGTTCTCAAGAAGAGTAGGGAAATGAAAAAAATACTCAAAGAAAATGAAAAGGAGTTCATGGAATGCAAGACTAACTGAAACATAATAATTTCCACATAATAGGGATACTCAGAGAAGAAGAGCAAGGAATAGAAAACTTGTTTGAAAAACTAACAATGGAAAACTTCCCTAATTTGAGGAGAGAAAAAGTCACACAATTCCAGGAAGGAAAGAGGGTCCCATTCAAGAAAGCCAATGAGGCCCATCCAGGACACATCACAATTAAAATGGCAAATATCAAACACAAAGAGAATCTTAAAGGCAGCAAGGGAGACAATAAGTAACATATAAGGGGACTCTGATAAGGCTAGTATCTGACTTTTTAACAGAAATACTAAAGCCAGAAGGGAATGGCAAGAAATGAAAAACAAAGCCCTGCAACCAAGACTACTCTACATAGCAAGGTCCTCAGTTAAAATGGAAAATGAAACAAGGAGTTCCCAAGCCAAAAAAAAAAAAGGTCTAAAAGAACACACCTCTACCAAACCAGCACTGGAAAATATGCTAAAGGGACTGACTGTTTAAGGAAGATGAAGAAAAATAGTGAAAGAGAGAGGAACACAGGTACAAAAGGAAAAAAATGAATAAGTACCTATCAATAATAACTTGAAATGTAAATGGTTTAAATGCTTTAATCAAAAGATATAGGGTAACTGAATGGATAAGAAAACAAGACCCGGACACATGCTGTCTACAAGAGACCTACCTCAGAACAAAGGGCCTACACAGACTGAAAGTAAAGGGATAGAAAATAATATTTTAAGGAAATGGGCAGGAAAAAGTTGGGGTAGCGATCCTTATGTCAGACAAAGAGATTTCAAAACAAAGGCCATAAAAAGAGACACAGAAGGACACTTCAAATACTCAAAGGAAGAATCCATTAAGAAGACATAAACATTGTAAACCTGTATGCACTCAACATAGGAGCACCCAAATATATAAGGAAAATCTTGGAGGACTTCAAGAAAGATATAGACAGCAACACACTGATAGTAGGGGATTTTAACACCCACTGTCAACAATGGGTAGATCTTCCAAACAAAACATCAACAAGGATATTGTGGAACTGAATCATGCATTAGATCAAATGGACTTAACTGACATATATAGAGCCTTTCATTCCAAAGAAGCAAAATACACACTCTTTTCAAATGCACATGGAACATTTTCAGAAATAGACCACATGATAAGATACAAAACAAGCCTCAACAAATTCAAGAAAACTAAAATAATAACAAGCACTTTTTTGGACCACAAGGGCTTGAAACTAGAAACCAACTTCATAGAAAGAACTCAAAAACATTCACATTCATAGAGACTGAATAGCATGCTATTAAACAATGAATGGGTTGATAATGAGGTCAAAGAAGAAATCAACAAGTTTCTGGACAACAAATGAAAATGAACACACAACAGTCCAAAACCTATGGGACACAGTGAAGGCAGTCCTGAGAGGGAAGTTCATAGCAATACAGGCCTACCTTAAAGACAGAAACATTTCAAATAAACAACCTAATCCTACATCTTCAGAAACTGGAGAAACTACAGCCAACAAACCCCAGAGTGAGCATAAAGAAGGAAATAATCAAGATCAGAGAATTATTGTATGACATAGAGACTGAAAGAATAATTCAAAAGATCAATAAGAGAACGTGCCATCTTGGGTTTGGATTAAGAGCTGGAGGTTGTGGCGACACAGAAACCCACATCCAGTCAAGCAGTAATGGCAAAAGCAGAGAGCTGGACTGTGAAGGTAACAGGACAAAGCAGAGTAACTGAGGATATCATACTGGCTGCAGAGGAGACTGTGCCAGGGAAAAAGATGGCGGAGGAGTGAATAGGAGTCACGCTAACCTCCTCCTCCCAAGACCAAACTGGAATTGCGACTAAATAATGGAGCAATCACCTGGAAAACAATGGAACGATAGCGGGAGAGGAGCCTTGGAGCCGCGGACAGACAGTGGATTCAATTCTCACACATCCCAATGGGTGAGAAGTGTGGTGGAGGCTCGAGAGGGTGGGCTGGGTGCCCACAGGCACCAACACCAGAGGGACGTTGAAATGGCCAGTTAGCTTTCCCCGAGAAGAACAGGGTCTGAATCATAAACAG